TTTAATTGTCCAGTAAAGGTGTTGTTTATTCATTTGCTCAACAAACATTTATTGAATTGCTGTTATATGAGGAACATCGTACTTACAAATGAGTGATTGGAAAACTTAACTAAAACGTAGAGACTTCTCTTTCTAAATCTGCCAACAACTTAAATTTAGCATTTTTTGGTAGAGCTTAACAATGTTCATATTTTAAAATATTTTTGAGGTGGGCTGTATATGTTTTTAGCATAAACTTTACATTTTAAAATATATTGGGTGTATGACTTTAATCCAGCACTTGGGAGGCGGAGGCAGGTGGATCTGAGTTTGACAGCTAGAGATAAAGGGAGACCCCCTCTCAAAAAAAAGCATAGTAGGGGAGAGAGGTCTCAGTGGTTAAAAGCACTGGCTCAATTCTCAGCATCCACATGGCAGCTGACAACTGTAACTCCAGTTCGAGGGGAATCCTATGCCCTCTTCTGACCTCTGAGGGTATTGCACAACACATGTGCACATATATATGCAGGCAACACACTCGTGTACATAAAATAAAAATAATAAATTTTACAAATAAATAAAAGCATAGTAATGAAGCTCTTTAAAGTATATGATAGGTCTGTGAACCATGGTTATGGCTTAATATGACTAGTGATACTTAATAGAAATGTTTTAGGGAGATAAAAAGGAGACTATGTATTGTCTTTCTGTAGAATTGGATTAGTTGTAGATAAGTTGATGACTATCAAGAAGAAACTAATGAACTAGAAATAATTGATAAAGACCCACAGCATAAACTGGTCGTGGCAATGCATACCTGTAGAGGCAAGAGGAGAGAAGCTCAGAGTCATTTTCCACTGTATAGCAGGCTCAAGACCAGCCTGGGCTATAAGACCCAATCTCAAAATATAAATACTTTCTTTGCTTATTTTCAGCTAAATTCTGTGGGATTTTAAATAGAGTCTGTGTTCTGTAACATGTCTTTGTATGAACCATATAGAGTGATGGTTTGAGTTACACTTCTAATTTTGCATGCTGTGAGGAAAAGGTAAGATAGGGATGTGGGTAAAGTTCTTTAAACAGTTTCTAGCACATAGTAAGGACTCTAAATGTCTGTTATGTCAGTTTCAGTTGTCATTTACAGTTGTTTCAGCTTTTAGGCCATGTAGACTTTAAGCTTTTTCTTTTAGATATATAAACTCTTTAAATAATCTTAGAAAGACACATAATTGAGTGGATTGGTTGTGACTATTCCCTTTATATAGGGAATAAACTATATATAAAATACAAACTTTATGAATAAAACTACATAGCCAAAGTTACACAGTGATAGTAGTTGTTAGCTGTTATTTCTTCTCCAGAGAAATGAGTTTTCTTGATATTGTTGTACATTAAATGGTTATTTTCTACTTTAATGTATCGGGAAGAAAAAAATGTTAATTTTTCAGTTCTCTGAATTTTCAGCTAGAGTGATTTTTTTTTTTTTTTTTTTTTTTTTTTTTTTTAAAAAAAAAAAAAAAAAAAAAAAAAAAAATTCTAGTAAAACATGGTTATAGTTACCAAAGCCAGAAGTCTGAGCTCAGCTGCTCAGTTATTCTTACTCCTTTACCCCTAGATTCAGTTATGTTCCAGTTTCTACTAAGTATATCTTCAAATTATTTCCTAGTTTGCTCAGCTCCTGGAGCTTTGTCCTAATGCAAACAAGGATTACCTGTCCTCTGGATTGGTATAGTAGCTCCCTGGGCTCTCACCTCCAGGTGTGACCCATGTTGTTAATGGGCCCCTAGGGTTTATAGTTCCTCCAGAAGCTCCATGCAGGGATTGAGGATGGGTCATGCACAGGAGCCTGAACCACATGCTTATTTCCTAACTTCTCTTTCATCTTCTACAGAAATTGGGACACTGTTGCAAACAAGACAGGTTGATAATTTCTATTTTTCTATTTTTTAGTTTTTGTCAGAACTGTCAGAACTGTAAATAAATTTTGGCTACAACTGTAAATAGATTCATTTTTTCATTTTACTGTTCTAAATAGCAGTCAGAGGAGTGTTTTTGAAACACAAATTTGTTTACTGTCTTGCTTTAAAATTCTGGTTTTCCAGTAATCTGAAGATTTAAAAATACCTAAGACAGCTCATATATACTACATGATTTTCTACTTTCTAGATTTCACTTCATATAAGTTACTTTAAAGGTAAGCTTCCTGAATGTAACATTAAGTTTAACTACATAAAAGTCACAAACTTTGACAGTTAAGTATGGTCTGTGACTGCCATAGCAATTATCTTATAGATAATTGGGGGACTATACTTTGAAAGTATAGTCACACATCTTATAGATGTGTTTCCAAGTACTTTCTTGGTGATTAGGAGAAAAAAAAAAATTTTTTTTTTTTTTGATCTTTTTGAGACAGGGTCTCCCTGTAGCTCCAGGTGCCTGCAACTCACTCTGTAGACCAGGCTGGCCTCCAACTCACAGTGGATCCGCCTGCCTCTGCCTCCTAAGTGCTGGGATTAAAGGCGTGTACCACCACACCCAGCTAAGGGAAAAAATAATTTTTTTTTAAAGTAAGATTTTCTAAGAATGTCTATATATGTTCTGAATTAATTGTCCTGTAGTAGCTTTTGGTCTTTTTGAGACAGGGTTTCTCTGCAGCCTCAGCTGGCCTAGACCTCACTATGTAGACCAGGCTGGCCTTGAATTTACAGAGATCTATCTGCCTGCCTCGGTGTTCAAAGTGCTGGGATTAAAGGGTATGCACCACCACACCTGGTGTCCTGTAGTAGTTTTAGGAGTTAACACCAAGTATTTTTTTAAAGTCATTCATAAAACAAAGGTGACCAAAATACTGTATTTCTGGTAACTTTCTTGAAAATAACCCTGTGTTTTTAAATGTTCTGAAAAGTTAAGAGCTAGTCTTAGAAATGACCAGGACACTGAAGCAGTTGGCTTTCTCTGCATTCAGCCGAATACCTCTGCGTGTATTTGACCGCTCTGCTTTATGAACTGAGTATTTCTAAATTCCATTACTTTGAAAACCCCCAGTAATCCTTGTTTTGACTTTGAAAGTATAGTGAGGTCGGCAGTGTTTAATTTAGTACATTGTTCAGTGATAAAAGGAGTTGCAAAGTGCTCTGCCACTTCATGAGATAATGTTAAGTGAATTATTTAGTGTTAAGTAAAAATGCTCCTAAATTATTTTAAACTATTCAAGGTTAGTGAAAGTATTTTAAGACTTAGTTCTTTTTAATTGTATTGCCTTTTCAGTCCATAGATTAACCTTTTGAATTTTGAATCAGAGGATGTCTTCTTTTAATTAAAACAAAACCCTAGGAATTGGCTTTTTAAATGAATGTATAATGGAAAAGTTGAATTTTTATATGCTCTATTTATTTAAAAGAAAACGTGTTACTTTACTTAAAAGACTCAGTATTTTGAAAATAAATGTGGCAGGACATCTCCAGATGATGAAATTGACCTTTAGAGTTGAAAGGAAGATGTGCTGCATGAACTTGAATCAGGATGCAGAGGTTGCAAATCAATTCAAGTGGAAGCCCATGAGAGGAAAAAGCTCTTGTGTATAAAGAAGCACTCTCAAACTCAAACTCTGAGAACTCCTCAAACTGTAGAGTAATGGCAGCAGTTGTTTAATGAGGAAGAAAGGAGCTAGCACCTGCCCCTCCTTCATTCCTACTGAGATCCTCATGGAGTGAGGTGGTTATAACAAGGAAAATCATCTGATGATACCTGAGGGTTGGAGAGGCTAGTCCCATTGAACGGTTTGCATTGGGAAGAGGGGCTATGGTTAGAACACAGAGGTGAGCTTAGAAGCAGGCTGTTACTAAATTTTCCCTGTTGGTTTTTGTTTTGTCAAGGAGTTGCACATGTCCAGTTCTAGCACTTTGAACGTTGCTCATCTGTCTTCCATCACTCTTCTCTTTCAAGAGGTATATCCCTTAGTCTGTTTGAGACATCTCATCTTAGAGGAGTCACTTTATCCTTTCTGCCTTACTTACGAGGCTGAGCAGCACTGCACTGCTTAGCACTGCTTAGCCTCAAAGCACACCTTGGTATCTGCACCATCAGTTGTCTTAATGCTACCTGCCTTATCAGTGTACTGATTATGATCTCTTCCCATCTTCATAGAGTTACACTTAACAATAAAAAATCAATTCCCAGGAACTAGAGAGAGGTGGCTCAGTGATTAAGCACTCTTGCTGCTCTTCCAGAGGACCTCAGTTCAAATCCTACATGGCAACTCACAACTGTCTGTAACTCTAGTACCAGAGGAACTGACACCTTCCTCTGTGTAGGCACCAGGCATGCATTTATACACATAAAATAAAAATAAGTCTTTAACTTTAAAAGACTTTTTTTTTAAGTTGGATAGTCAGTTCTCTAACCTGGTTCTCAATTTCTTTGCTATATCATTTGTATCCATTAATTCCTTTTAGACTTATTTTCCTTCTTACTAAATCACATCCTTGAGTAGTTATCTCAAGTAGGATCCGTGAATGGTAAACTGAAGTTGTTTTCCAAATATACAGTTTTTTTTTTATCTTTTTGAGACAGGGTCTCCCTGTAGCCCTAGCTGGCCTGGATTCACTGTGGAGACGAGCTGGTACTTTATTTCTTGTCAGGATAGTATAAGCTTTGAATTAATTACTTAATTTTAAATAATGTAGTTTAAGGAAATTCATTTTTACTTGCAGGGTTGTTTTTTTGTTTGTTTGTTTTGTTTTTGTTGTTGTTTTTCCTGTAAGCATAAAGCTGATTAGGTTTCATAGTTTTAGAACAGAGTTACAGAGTATAATGGGATAACTTGTATGTTCAGCTTTTGGAACTGATTTTCACATTATAGTCATATATTCAGTGTTTTGGAGTATTACGGCTAATATGGTATTCTGAGGTTACTTACTTACATGTTATTAATTGGCATTTATTGAATAAAAATTATAGAAATAACTACAGAATTCACTCTACTAAACAAGTGTATTTATAATACCTTCTGTTTTTTTCAGATTACAAATAGAAGAATCTTCCAAACCTGTAAGGCTGTCACAACAACTGGACAAAGTTGTAACGACCAATTACAAGCCTGTTGCTAATCATCAGTACAACGTAAGTCTTCTGTTATTGTTCTTGTCAGCATCGTAGTCTTGGTTTCTGAAAGGACCTGAGCAGTTGTGTACCTTGGGATCGGGTGCTTGAGTACCTAGGCCATAGTCAGTGAGGAATATGCCAGCATGCTTAAGCCCAGAAAAAGTGCTTGTTCTACACCATGAGCTGTGTGACGGAAGGGAGACACTGTCCAGGCTGCCCTTGATCAGGATTTATACAGGCATAAAACACTTCAGTTCTCACTGTTTGTAATCACAGTGTACTACATAAATATTAATTCTGTTATTTTTATTTTCTATACCACTGTAATTTATCATATCAGTTTTTAATGTGTTGACAAAAAATATACAATTGTGTGTCTCTTTTAGCAAAATTATTTGATTTGGGGGGGCGGTCTTTTTGAGACAGGGTCTCCCTGTAGTCCCAGCTGGCCTGGAACTCACTATCAGACCAGGCTGGCCTGGAATTCACAGACATCTGCCTGCCTCTGCCTCCAGAGTGCTAGGATTAAAGGCATGTACCACTATGCCCAGCTTTATTTGAAAATTTTAAAGACCCTATAGTATAGCAATGATCGTCTTCTTCACTGATTTTGTTGTTGTTTATTGGGTTTGTTTTTGTTTTTGTCTTTTGAGACAGGGTCTTACTATGCAGCCCAGAGTGATCTAGAACTCACTATGTAAATCAGACTGGCCTCACTCTCAGAGAGACCTGCCTGCCTCTGCCTCCAGAGTGCTGGGACTGCAGGTGTGCACCACCACACCCAGCCCAATTCCTCACTGATTATTAAAATCATTTTGCTTCATTTTGGGGGCATTTTTATGGTTCATTACTGCTGTGCAAAGTGAGGACTGCCTGTGTGTTTTTTAAAACCTCTTATTGAAGCACATATATACTGCATGTATAATAATATAGTAGTAATTTCTATGTAAATTGTCTTATTATTAGGTATGCTAGCATATTGTGTTAGTTACTATTGTGAATTCCTCATAAATAATGACTTGTCATTTTCATTCCTACTCCTTGAAGTAACTACTACCATTACCCACAGTTTATGTACAAGTGAGTTCACCCAACTAAAAACTGACCTATCCAAATATTTGCCTTAGCAGCCAAACTCTTAGTTGTTGTATATGTTGCCATAGTACATTAGCAATACTAAAAGAGATCAATCTTGTGCCTTTATGCAGTCTCTGTGCTAGTCCTTTTTTAGCAAAAGTTTGTTACTGTCTAGGTCTTGATTGGGTTCATTTTCTTTCACTAGTTAAAGAATTAAAAGGCAGGAAGACTCTCAGGCACAGCAGGTAACAAACTTTATTAAAAGTAAACACATATATACATATATACACTCACACAGAGAGCAGTAGTACCACAAGTGGAGAGGTGATTTAGAAATCAAAAAATCCAAAGCCCATAGGAAGGCCTGCGTCTTTCAAGCATTCTTGGTGGTATAGATCAACTTAAATGAAGAAGATAGGGTTAATAGGCCACTGCTCCAAACTGAGATATGTCCATGACTGACCTTGACTAAACTGATCTAGACCAGTCAGTCAGAAGAGGGGCCCTGCTGGTGGGAGAAAAGGCCCCTAGGGCTTTATCTTGGTGAAGAAGTAGCTGGAAGTTTGTCATCTTTGTTACTTCTCAGTGGCAGTTCTCTCTGACTGACTTTTAGGGTCTTGGGTTTACTATGGTACCCTCACATTTTCAGCTTGTTAAGTTTGGTAATAAATTCAGACTTGTAGATATACTATCAACTACTGAAATAAACATATGAATAGGTGGGAAAACTGGCACTTTTCTTCTAAAATGATCTCTATCAGTCACTCCAAGAAGTAGAAACGATAAGGGAATCAGATCTGACAAGAACTTGGCTCTTCAAAAATGGAAATTATCCATATCATTTTAAGTATGGCTTGTCTTTCCTTGTCTTTAATGATGACTCAGTTGTGTCATTCTTATGGATTGAAACAACTCCAAATATTTTAAGGAAAAAGGAATTTAATGTAGCGAATTGGTTACAGATATTTTATGAATACAAAAAGGAGGGGTCATAATCATGAAAAGGAAAGAGGTTGGCTGCCAGAGATCAGAAAGCTGTGACTGTGATAGATGATTCTGCTGATAGCAAAGGAAAAAAATATTCCCTTCCTCCTCCTGTCATTTTCCCATTGGCATAATGGCAGCTGGAAACCACCTAGCAATGTAGCCTACTAGGCTTCTGCCACCACCAACAGCAAGATCTGGAGCTGACTGCTTTAACTATGAAAATAACTGGCCCTTTAACCTGTGTGTGGTTTGTGCCTTATTATATTAGCTCTTGCCAATATAAAACTTTCTGAGTTTGCAATACTTTTGAAAACTATTTAGAACATGAAGACAGATCACTATATATATATATAATCTTTTCAAATCATTTTGAAAGCATACAATAAGGTGTTTGGGGAGGGAAGTGGAGGGGAAGAGGTTGTGTATATATATGTACGTGTGGAATCCAGAGGTCTACATCAAGCATTTTCCTTTGTGTATGTGTATTTGTGTATATGTGTGCATGTTGAAAGTCTACACTGAGTGTCTTCCTCTATCACTCTGCACCATATTTTTTTGAGACATGGTCTCTTAGAGAGTTCATTCTTTCAGCTAGCCTGGCCGGCCTACTAAGCCATCTCTCCAGCCCTCCATAAGGTATTTCATAGTTTCAGCAAATTTAATTTTATTTTCAGAATAATATGCGCTTTTATTTATGTTGTCTGTAACTTGTAATATTTATATAGAAGGATGTTTGGTAATTTAAAAAGATATTTATAAATATAAACATATTTATATATGATTCATGCCTTAATTTTTTTTTAACTGATAGAGGTGTTAAATAAAAAAAAAGCCAGGCAGGGTAACTCATACCTTTGATCCCAGCACTCAGGAGGCAGAGGCAGGCGGATCTCTGTGAGATCAAGGCCTGTGTGGTCTATGTAGTGAGTTCCAGGCCAACTGTGGCTGCAGGAAAGACCCTATCTCAAAAAAACAAAAACAAAAAAAGAGTGGGAAGGGCTGGAGATATGGATCAGTTGATAGAGTGCTTGCCTAGCAAGCTTTAAACCTTAGGTTTGAACCCCTCTCTGCACTGAATAAAACTGGAGCTTGGTGGCATATGCCTGTAATCCTAACACTCTGGAGGTGAAAACAGTAAGATGAGAAGTTCAAGGTCATCCTCAGCTATATAGCAAGTACAGGGGACATGAGAGTATCTGGTTAACTTGTTTATGTCATCATCTCCCCGTGTAAATTTCACATGTAGTCTGTGGTCTAAACTAGTCCTCTGTTTAGATGATGGTTCTCAATGTGGCTTATGTACTAGAATCACCCAGGAAGGGTGATTTTCTTAAGAAGGAAAAATGCCTCCAGAAATTAACAGGTCTAATGTGGCATGTGTTTTACGCTCCCTAGGTTATTCTAGTATGCTGCCACTGATCCAGAGATTTTCCAGAGACATAGGAACTTTTTATAGTTGTCTGCCATCTGTTGAGAAGGGGATGGAACTCTGTAATAGTACCAGCAGGGGACCAGAAAGTCTCTTCCGAACTTAAGATAAATCTTCTAGTTTTTGTTATTATCCCTGTCCTCTTGCTTCTAAGTTTGATAAAGGACTTTTAAATCTAACTTTTTGTCAAAAAACGATAGAGAAACTAAGAAAATCCCACCTACAAAGCATTCATTGAAATACCAGGATTATTACATAAAACCTTCAGGTAACACACACACACACACACACACACACACACACACACACACACACACCTGCAACTAAGAAGAAAATTTCTTTTTATGTATATTCTGTTCCCTTCCATGTGGCAGCCAACTGTTGGTTCCAGAACTAAGGGTGTTGAACTTTCTGTTTTTTAAAGTTAGATGCATAAAGTTTTTATTTTGTTTATTAAAATAAATGCCTACAGGACTATATATTATATTACTGAATATTATTATATTCAGTAATATTTGCCTGCCATAGGCTGTAGTATAAGAATACTACATGCCTTGTCCATTTGAATTTGCATGCCAAGGACTGGCCTGCTCTCAAGAATTAATTTCCTCCCAAGGGATGATGACATACTAAGCAGAAATAGAAGCCTTGGTGGAGGAGAGGGGGAAGTAACTTTCACAAGGATTTAAAATGCAAAACCATGGTAGTCATGGCTGTCACCATCTCTTCAGAAGTTAAAAGCCTCACAAAGAGTGCCTTGACAAAGGAATCAAGGCATTTCTGCAAACAACATTCTAGAAATTTACAGACACCGGAATTATATTATTTTAATTGGTAGTGGGTGGCATTTATAATTTTAGTCAGTGATTAAGATTTCAGTAATGATGGTTGAGCATCTCTATACCACATCTCAATTCATTTTCAATGTGGTTGCATTTTAATCTTGAATACCTTGTTTTCTAGAGAAAGTAAAATAAATTGCATATGATAGCTTTTCTGGATTATTAAAATGTATGGCTGCAGAATTAAGTTTAAGGTGCTTTCTGACTTGGCATTTGTTTCTAAGACGTTGGTTATGCAGTGATCTGTGGTCAGTGAAGGCAGATAATAGGTCAGAATTTGGACTGTGAACCGTAAGTTATCCGTAGTGTAGACCCTAAGGACAGTGAATACATGTTTTTTCTTGTTAACTTTTAATTAATTAATTAATTAATTAATTTTTGAGACAGGATCTCCCTGTAGCCCCAAATGGCCTGGAACTCACAGGGATCCCCCACCCCCACCTGTCTCTGCTTCCTGAGTGCTAGGATTAAAGGTATGTGCCACCACGCCCAACTTCTTGTAGGGTTACATTTCTAGTGCAGAAAAAGCTCTCTTAATGCAGGGTGGTGCTTCCACTTTTATCATGGTTATTATTTTGTATGTTTGACTTTTCAGATTGTCCTTTGTTTGGTTATTGGGGATTTT